CTCTCTGTTCTGTTCCGTTGGTCTATGTGCATGTTTTTATGCCAGTACCAGGCCGTTTTGATTACAGTGGCCTTGTAATACAGTTTGGTATCAGGTATTGTGATCCCTCCTACTTTTTTCTTTTTTCTCAAAATTGCAGCTGCTATTTGGAGTTGTTTACGGTTCCATATAAATTTTTGAAGTGCTTGTTCTATATCTGTGAAGTATGTCATTGGTACTTTAATAGGTATTGCATTTAATCTGTAAATTGCTTTGGGTAGTATGGACATTTTGATGATGTTAATTCTTCCAATCCATGAACATGGTATATGTTTCTATTTGTTTGTGTCTTCCTTGATTTCTTTCTTCTGTGTTATGTAGATTTCTGCACACACGTCTTTTATGTCCTTGATCACATTTATTCCTAGATATTTTATTATTTTTTTTGCTATATTGAATGAGATTTATTTTTCTTTCTTTTTTTATTAATTTTATTTAGTTATTTTTCAAGTACAGTTTTTTGTCTATTTTTCCCATCCCAGCTTCCCCCGCCCCTTGCTCCCCACCTCCCTCCCATTTCCACCCCCCTTAATTCTCGTCCTTGTGACCTTCCTATTTGTTCCTCCAAATCCCTCCCCCTTTTTCCCCTTAACTTCTCTTCCCTCTCCCCTCTGGTCACTATCCCCTTGTTCTCTATTTCAGTGTCTTTGTTTTTTTTTTTTTTCTGCTTGCTTGTTTGTTTTGTTGTTTAGCTTCCTGTTAAAGGTGAGATCATATGGTATTTGTCTTTCAGCACCTGGCCTATTTCACTCAGCATAATGCTTTCCAGTTCCATCCATGTTGTTGCAAAAGGTAGTAGCTCCTTCTTTCTCTCTGCAGCATAGAATTCCATTGTGTATATGTGCCACAATTTTTGGATCCATTCATTTACTGATGGGCACCTAGGTTGCTTCCAACTCTTGGCTATTGTAAATTGTGCTGCTATGAACATTGTGGTGCATAGGTTCTTTGATATTGATGTTTTAGGATTATTAGGATATAATCCCAGCAGTGGAATTGCTGGGTCAAAAGGCAGGTCGATTTTTATTTTTCTGAGAAAAATCCATACTGTTTTCCATAATGGTTGTACCAGTCTGCAATCCCACTAACAGTGAACTAAGGACCCCTTTTCCCCACAACCTCTCCAACATTTGTTGTTTGTTGCTTTGTTTATGATAGCCATCCTGACTGGTGTAAAGTGGTATCTCATTGTGGTTTTAATTTGCATCTCTCTGATAGCTAACGATATTGAGCATCTCTTCATGTGTCTCTGGATCTTCTGTATGTCCTCCTTGGAGAAGTGTTTGTTCAAGTCCTTTTCCCATTTTTAATTGGGTTGGGTGTCTTCTTAGAGTGGAGTCGTGTAAGTTCTTTGTATATTTTGGAGATTAAACCTTTGTCTGAGGTATCATTGGCAAATATGTTTTCCCATACAGTTGGTTGTCTTGTTAATTTAATACTGTTTTCTTTAGCCATGCAGAAGCTTTTTATTTTGATGAGATCCCACTTGTTTATTCTTTCCTTTATGTCCCTTGCTCTGGGGAACATATCAGTAAAAAAGTTGCTGCGTGAAATATCTGAGATTTTCTTGCCAATGTTCTCCTCTAGGACTTTAATGGTGTCATAGCTTATATTTAAGTCTTTTATCCATCTTGAATTTATTTTGGTGTATGGTGTAAGTTGGTGCTCATGTTTCATTTTTTTGCACGTAGCTGTCCAGTTCTCCCAACACCATTTGTTGAAGAGGCTATCTTTACTCCATTGTATGTTACTGCCCCCTTTGTCAAATATTAATTGACTATAGAGAGTTGGGTTGATTTCTGGGCTCTCTGTTCTGTTCCATTGGTCTATGTGCCTGTTTTTATGCCAGTACCAGGCTGTTTTGATTACAGTGGCCTTGTAATACAGTTTGGTATCAGGTATTGTGATCCCCCCTACTTTGTTCTTCTTTCTCAAAAGAGCAGCTGCTATTCGGGCTCGTTTATGGTTCCATATAAATTTTCGAAGTGTTTGTTCTATGTCTGTGAAGTATGTCATTGGTACTTTAATATGTATTGCATTTAATCTGTAAATTGCTTTGGGTAGTATGGACATTTTGATGATGTTAATTCTTCCAATCCATGAACATGGTTTATGTTTCTATTTGTTTGTGTCTTCCTTGATTTCTTTCTTCTGTGTTATGTAGATTTCTGCACACATGTCTTTTATGTCCTTGGTTACATTTATTCCTAGATATTTTATTATTATTTTTTGCTATATCGAATGGGATTTATTTTTCTTGATTTCTGCTTCTGCTGTTTCATTGTTGGTATACAAAAATTCCTTTGATTTCTGGATATTGACTTTGTAACCGCTATCTTGCCAAATTCATTTATTAGGTTGAGTAGTTTTTGGGTAGAGCCTATAGGATTTTCCATGTACACTATCATGTCATCTGCAAACAGTGACAGTTTTGTTTCCTCCTTTCCGATTTGAATTCCTTTTACTTCCTTTTCTTGCCTGATTGTTGTGGCTAAAACTTCCAATACTATATTGAATGGAAGTGGTGAAAGTGGACATCCTTGCCTTGTTCCTGATCTTAGTGGAAAAGATTTTAGTTTTTTCCCGTTGAGTATGATGTTGGCTGTAGGTCTCTCATATATGGCCTTTATTATATTGAAGAATGCTCCCTCTATTCCCACTTAGCTGAGTGTTTTTATCATAAATGGGTGTTGTACTTTATCCAAAGCTTTCTCTGCATCTATTGATATGATCATGTGATTTTTGTCTTTGCTTTTGTTTATATGATGTATTACATTTACTGATTTGTGAATATTGAACCATCCTTGCATCCCTGGGATGAATCCCACTTGGTCGTGGTGAATGATCTTTTTAATGTATTGTTGGATGCGGTTTGCCAATATTTTGTTGAGGATTTCAGCATCTGTGTTCATTAGAGATATTGGCCTGAAGTTTTCTTTTTTTGTTGTATCTTTGTCTGGTTTGGGGATTAGGATGATGCTGGCTTCATAAAAAAGTTTGGGATTCTTCCATCATTTTGGATTTTTTGGAATAGTCTGTGAAGAATAGGAGTTAGCTCTTCCTTAAATGCTTTGTAGAATTCTCCTGTGAAACCATCTGGTCCAGGGCTTTTGTGTGATGGGAGTTTTTTGATTACTGCTTCAATTTCATTTGCTGTTATCGGTTTATTCAGGCTTTCTGCTTCTTCATTGAGTTTTGGAAGATTATATTTTTTCCTAGAAATTTGTCCATTTCACCTAAGTTTTCAAATTTCTTGGCATACAGTTCTTCATAATAATTTCTTACAATCCTTTGTATTTCTGTGGGGTCAGTTGTAATCTCTCCTCTTTCATTTATGATTGTGTTTATTTGGGTTCTCTCTCCTCTTTTCTTGATGAGCCTGCTTAAAGGCTTGTCTATTTTGTTTATCTTTTCAAAAAAAACAGCTCCTGGATCCATCGATCCTAAGAATTGTGCTTTTAGTCTCTATGTCATTTATTTCTGCTCTGATCTTGGTTATTTCCTTCCTTCTGCTTGCTCTGGACTGTCTTTGTTGTTGTTCCTCAAGTTCTTGTAGGCGTAGGGTTAGGCTGTTTGTTTGAAATGTTTCTATCTTCCTTAGGTACGCCTGAATTGCTATGAACTTTCCTCTCGGGACTGCCTTCGCTGTGTCCCATAAGTTTTGGGTTGTCACGAGTTCATTTTCATTTGTTTCCAGAAACTTTTTGATTTCTTTTCTGATTTCATTCTTGACCCATTCATTGTTTAATATCATGCTATGCAATCTCCATGATTTTTGATGTTTTGGGTCTTTTCTCTTTGGGTTGGTTTCCAGTTTCAGCCCCTTGTGGTCGGAGAAAATGCTCGGGATGATTTCAATTTTCTTAAATTTGTTGAGGCTCATTTTGTGTCCTATCATGTGGTCTATCTTTGAAAATGTTCCATGTGCATTTGAAAAAAATGTGTATTTAGCTTCTTTGGGATGGAGGGTTCTATATATATCAGTTAAGTCTATTTCATCTAGGACGTTGTTCAATTTCAGAATATCTTTGTTGATTTTTTTTGTTTGGAAGATCTGTCCATTTTTGACAGTGGGGTATTAAAATCCCCAACTATAATTGTGTTGCTGTCAATACCTTTTTGTTTTAAACCAAGTTTGTGATTTTTATTGATGGATGACGACTTTATATCCTGGGCATCACTAAACTGTGTACAACTGGAGACACGGCATTAGAGAAGAGCAGGCAGCAGTGAACAGAGCAGATGTGAGGAGGACTGTCTTCATTGTTTTGCCCGTGTTTCACTATGTGTACACAGAAGCATGAATGCAACTTGAAATCTTTCACTGGCAATAAAGTGACAACCACCCATCGATGTGACTAACACCTTAACTCTGAATACTTGATCTGTAATGCATACATAAGCAGTTTCTCATCACACAATTATTAAAATGTATTTTTAGGAACAAGCAACTTATTTTTTGTGTTTATTTTTCTTTTGAAGAACTGTTCCTTCTCTGATAACTGGCTCATTTTTATCATTTGTCAAAAACTAAAGGGTGGGGGAGGAAAGTGTGATGGACTAAAAAATTCTTATTTTAAGGAAAGATAAAATTCATTTTCACAAATTTACAACTGTTGCTGGTGCAGAATTTATTCTAAGCAATCAGACTAGGAATCAAATATAAGTTCCCCTTCTTACTCAGGAATCAGCATTACTTCAGAATTATGGATTTTTGTGTATTTTCTTAAATCAAGCGAGAGTCTGTTTCAACCAAATGATTTTGATTTGGAAGTTAGAAGTCAGCATAAACTATTCTGCGCACAAACTGCAAGGCATCTCCTCTTCATTCCAGCTCATTTTTGCCAAAGGGAGACAGTGTCTCTCTAGGGCGCCACTACAGAGAGGAAGGGAATCAGTGAGAGTTGTGTTCCACAAGCGCGTGTGGGAATGCGGCACGGAGGCGGTTACAGCAGGTCCCCTCAGCTGCTATAGAGGAGGTAGACTGTGTGGTCTGCAATGGGCTTCACCACCTGGTACTGGTTGATCACCTTCACCATCTGGTCACTGATGCACAGCCAGACGTTCAGACCGATCTGGAAGACGTCTGTAGTGTAATGACTACCCGTTGCATTGCTGCCCCGATGGTAGACCACTGCAAATAGTCTATAGGTTCTGTGACATTTAAAATTCTTATTTTTAACTTCTGGAGAAAGCAGTTCTTTACTAATTTCCAGACCCACAGGATACTTGATATTTTTAATGAGCTTCTGACAGCCACCTGTCTTCTTGTAGACAAAGTGTTTCAGGTGCAGCAGGAGGACAGGAGGCAGTTTCTCCAGGGTCACTCTGCAGCTGATCTCCACCTCTTGTTTGGTTTTTGTGGTGTAATCTTGGACAGATTCTCTCGCCACCAAGCTTTCCAATGCATCCTGGACTGTGCATATCTCGTCAGACTGGATATCCAACTGCAACGTGAAAAATGACTGTAAAGTGGCCGATTCTTTTGAACTCTGCTGGTAAACCACAGATCTGATGTGTCCACCGAAAATGCCAGTGATTGGCATCTGAACAAAGTCCTCCTGGTGCGTGACTGAAGTCTTATTTCTGGGGCTCACTTGCTCCCATTTGTCCTCACTTCCTTTGCCTGGTTCTTCCTGCTCTTCCTCATTCTCCAAGTGGCTTTTGGGTCCATTTGAAACAGTAAATTTTTCATTATTTGGTGAGGGAAGTTTCTTTAGGTTCAACATTTCCTCATGAAGTCCATTTAGAATAAAGCCCAAGTATTCCTCAGCATCTTCTTGTCAACCCTTTTCAGACAGGCTCAACTTGATGACTGTCAGGAGTCTATAAATATATGTGGGTTCAAAGGCAGCTCCAGGGCAGATATCCCTCATGATTTTAACCCCAAGAGCTTGTCTGGGTTTTGGAGGTACTGGCATATTAGTAAACTCATTCATTAGCTGAACAAAGCTGTCTATCATGGGTGTTGATGTACAAGGTCTTTGCACTTTTGAACACAGAGGAATGAACTTTATTAGGTGATACATCGGAGGGCAAGCAACCAGTGCCTGCAGTGTGGCACTAATGTAGCTCCAGTTTCCTTTGTTGATCAGTCCACGGGGTTGCAACGATACCAGTTTATGTATTAGGGTTACATTCTCCAGTAACTCTGCAATCTTTATGGCTACAGGATCCTCTGAAACTGGAACAAGCCCTTCCTTGACTTCAGCCTGCTTTTCAGAGACCAGGGGAGATGTGGCAGGAGGGGAATACTTAGTTTCCACAGAAGCCACGGGTGAGGAGGAAGAGGGCTTAGAATCATGGAAAAGACTGGCCCATGACTTAGGCTGACTGATGGGAGTAGAGCCAGCCACAGAAGCTGGGGCATCGGCAGGAGGGGAAGTGCTCTCAGCTTTAGTTGGGTCTGAGTCCATGCTTTCCACAGTGTGCAACTTCACCCTGTTGGCAGTTGAGCCCTCACGCAAGGATTCAAGTATCTGTCCATTAGTAACTCCAAGGTTTTCAGTAGTATCAGTCCCAACATAGGGTGAGCCACAGCTGTCCTCAACAGGCTGTCCCTCCCAGTCTCTGCAGGAAGGCAGGACTGATCAGAGGCAGGCCCCTGGCAGCCCTGAGGCTGCCCTGCAGTCCTAGCATTGCTGTCCAGGGCTCAGGAGAAACAGCCACCAGACACATTGTCACTGACGAAGTCTGTGGAGTCCTGAGGGCTGCTACAAGTCCTGGGTGTCCCCAGCAAGGGCACATCGCCCATCAACTCTACATCCTCTGTGTCTATACTGTTCAGGACTATGGGATTGGCATGGCCATTGACCAGGGCTTCTGTAGAAATATTACCCTCGCTGCCATTTTTCAAGTAACTATAATATTCAGGTGGATGTTTTTCTTCTTTTTACGCTCCCTTTGTCCAAAACCACCTGAGACACCATCATTTTCCAAAATTTCCACCTCCACATTGGAACTGCCATCCAGATCAAGGGCAGAGCCTGGGTATTGGCAGTCACTAGAGCTGCAGTCTGCTTCTTTATCTATGTCATCAGGGGTGTTTCTAGGAGCTGTGCAACTAAGAATGAATTCAGGAGGAGGATTCAATGTACTTGAAATACTGTAGTTGGGAGTTCTCTACAACGTGTCATTGGGTTCAATCACTTCATTAACACCAAACTCAATTCTCTGACATTCTTGTTCGTTAGGTAGCTCATCGGTAGCCTGTGTGCCACACAGAACTGTTCCATTATATGGAGAAAGCTCAACCGAAGAGCGAGGGTCACAAAAAACTGGTTGAATTCAACAGGGCTAAAATCTCCAAAAATATACTGTGGGCCACAGAGGGCCATGGCAGCCGTTTCAATGAGCCTCCTCACTCACCCGACTCCTCACGCTGCTTCCCCCGCTGCCGCCATCTTCTCACCCACACATACACCCAATTTCTTTCTTGAAGTCCTTTAAGATTTTTTTATGTATTTGGATGCTCCTATGTTGGGTGCATATATATTTACAATGTTTACATCCTCTTGGTGGATTCTTTTCTTGAGTATTATGAAATGATCTTCTGGGACTCTTTTTATGGTTCTTTTTTTAAAGTCTATTTTGTCTGATACGAGTATTGCTACCCCAGCTTTTTTTTTCCTGGTGGTTTGCTTGGAAAATTTGTTTCCAGCCCCTCACTTTCAGTTCGTGTAGATCCTTAGTCCTGATGTGGGTCTCTTATAGGCAGCAAATGTGTGGGTCATGCTTTCTTATCCATTCAGCTATTCTATGTATTTTGATTGGAGCATTTAGTCCATTTACATTTAAGGATATTATTGATAGGTACTTATTCATTGTCATTTTTATACGTGTGCTTCTTATTGTCTCTCTCTTTTCCTTCCTGTCCTTAAAGCAGACCTTCTAGTATTTCTTGCAGAGCTGGCTTGGTGGCAGCATATTCTTTTAGACTACTTTTGTTTTGGAAGCTCTTTATTTGGCCTTCTATTTTGATTGAGATCCTTACTTCAACCAAAGTAACCTTGGTTGAAGGCCTCTGGTTCTCATTACTTGGAATTTTTCTTGCCAATCTCTTCTCGCTTGGAGTGTTTCCATTATTTTAATTTTTTAATATGTTTTATTAATTATGCCATTACAGTTTTTCCATATGCCCCCTTAATTTCCCTCTACCCTTCACACCCCCTCTCCCAATCCCGCCCTTTAGTTTATGTCCATGTGTCACAAGTTCTTTCGATTCTATATTTCCCATACTCTTCTTGCCCTCCCCCCCATTTTCTACCTACCATCTATATCACTTATTTTCTGTACCTTCTCCCCACCTCTCCTGCTCCCACTCCATTGCTGCTAACCCTCCATGTGATCTCAATTTCTATGGTTCTGCTCCTGATCTAGCTGTCTACTTACTTTGCTTTTGTTTTAGGTGTGGTTGTTAATAACTGTGAGTTTGCTGTCCTTTCACTGTTCATGTTTTGTACCTTCTCTGTCTTAGATAAGCCTCTTTAACGTTTCATATAATAAGGGCTTGGTGATGATGAACTCCTTGAATTTGATCTTATCTGAGAAGCACTTTATCTGCCCTTCCATTCTAAATGAAAGTTTTGCTGGATAGAGCAATCCTGGATGTAGGTCGTTGGATTTCATGACTTGGAATACCTCTTTCCAGCCCCTTCTTGCCTGTAAGGTCTCTTTTGAGAAATCAGCTGACAGTCTGATGGGAACTCCTTGGTAGGTGTCTGTCCCCTTATCTCTTGCTGCTTCTAGGATTCTCTCCTTCATTTTAATCTTGATAATGTAATTATTATTATTTTTATTTTTTTATTGATTATGCTGTTACAGTTGTTCTATTCCCCCCTTCATTCCCGTCCACTGTGCCCCCCATCCCCACCATTACCCCCCTTTAGTTTATGACCATGTGTCTCAACTTCTTTAACTTCTATATTTCCCATACTTTTCTTGCCCCCCCCCATCTATTTTCTATCTACTGTCTATGCTACTTATTTTCTGTACCTTCTCCCCTCTTCTCCTCCTCCCACTCCCCTGTTGCTAACCCTCCTTGAGATCTTCATTTCTATGTTTCCACTCCTGATCTAGCTCTCCTTTTAGTTTGCTTTTGTTTTAGGTGTGGTTGTTAATAACTGTGAGTTTGTTGTCCTTTCACTGTTCATATTTTTTTTTAACTTCTTTTTCTCAGGTAAGTCCCTTTAACATTTCATATAATGAGGGCTTGGTGATGATGAACTCCTTGAATTTGACCTTATCTGAGAAGCACTTTATCTGTCCTTCCATTCTAAATGAAAGTTTTGCTGGATAGAGCAATCTTGGTTGTAGGTCTTTGGATTTCATGACTTGGAATATTTCTTTCCAGCCCCTTCTTGCCTGTAAGGTCTCTTTTGAGAAATCAGCTGGCAGTCTGATGGGGACTCCTTTGTAGGTGACTGTTCCCCTTATCTCTTGCTGCTTCTAGGATTCTCTCTTTCATTTTAATATTGGCTAATGTAATGATGATGTGCCTTGGTGTGTTCCTTCTTGGGTCCAACTTCTTTGGTACTCTCTGAGCTTCCTGGATTTCCTGGAAGTCTATTTCCTTTGCCAGATTGGGGAAATTCTCCTTTATTATTTGTTCAAATAAGTTTTCCACTGGTGGCTGTGCCTTTCCCCCTTCTGGTACCCCTATAATTCGGATGTTGGAGTGTTTACATATGTCCTGGAGGTTCCTAAGCCTCTCCTCATTTCTTTGAATTCTTCCTTCTTCACTCTTTTCTGTTTGGCCATTATTTGCTTTCTTCTGGTCCACTCCATTGATTTGAGTCCCAGTTTCCTTCTCATCGCTATTGGTGTCCTGTGCAATTCCATTCATTTCAATTAGTTTCGCCTTCAAATGTTTGTCTAATTTGTGGCTATAATCAACCAGTTCTGTGAGGATCCTGGTCACCAGTGTTTTAAACTGTGTTTCTAAGAGTTTTGCTATTTCTTCATCACTTAGATTTATAGGCTCTGGGGCTTTGAGATCTTCTTGAGCCATTTTTGGTCTGTTTGCGCGCGTTAAGGATGAGGAGCGGAGCCTTGGACTCCCAGGTCGCTGGTTGTGACGCTGTATGTGAGGGTGTGGTCAGAGCGGGGAAATGGCGGCCCCCTCTGCTATTTCTCGCAGCTGGGTGAAGAGCAGTGTCTTAGGTTGTTCACCGGGGCAGGGCCACTTAGGTCGCTGGATTATGATGCTGTATGTGGACGCGGGGTCAGAGCGGGGAAATGGCGGCGCCCTCTGCTGCCACTGGCCACTGGGGCCTGCTGGGTCCCGTCCAATTGCCCACTCCCTCGCTTGTCTATCCACACATGAATGCGCGACCACAGTCAACCCGCAGCCCTGCTCCCTCGCTCTTTCCCCGCAGTCGCTTGCTGAGTTGCCCACCAGGTCCAACACTGTGCGTGGATTCCGCGCGCCTGAGTCCATCTGACTGAGTTTTTCTGTGCTACCCCACTCTGCCATCTGCTGGTTTCGCCCCTCTTACTGGTCAGGCTGAAGAATTTGTTGTTATCAGACTTCCGAAAGGTCAGTTTTCTGTGTTCTGGCTGTGTGTTTTGTTGCTAATATTTAGTTGTCTCTAAACTTGGTTGTGTGAGGAAGCACAGCGTCTCCACCTATGCTTCCATCTTGGTGGAAGTCAGATCCTTCTGGATAATGTAATTATGATGTGCCTTGGTGTATTCCTCCTTTGGTAGAACTTCTTTGGGACTCTCGAGCTTCTTGGATTTCCTGGAAGTCTCTTTCCCTTGCCAGATTGGGGAAGTCCTCTTTTATTATTTGTTCAAATAAATTTTCCACTTGTGGCTGTTTCTCTTCCCCTTCTGGTACCCCTATAATTCGGATGTTGGAATGTTTAAAGGTGACATGGAGGTTCCTAAGCCTCTCCTCATTTTTTGAATTCTTGTTTCTTCATTCTTTTCTGTGTGGTCATGTTTTTCTTCCTTGTGGTCCACTTGATTGATTTTAGTCCCAGTTTCCCTCCCATCACTATTGGTTCCCTGTGCATTTTGCATTTCACTTAGTATAACCTTCATTTGTTCCTCTAATTTGTGACTGAAATCAGCCATTTCTGTGAGCATCCTGATCACCAGTCTATTGAGCTGTGGATCCAATAGGTTGGTATCTCTTGGTTACTTAGAAGTATTGGCTCTGGGCTTTGAGCTGCTCTTCTTCTTGAGCCATAATGTTTTGGTCTGCTTGTGCCTGTTAAGTATGAGTTGTGGAGCCTTGGGTTTTCATCAGGGTGGGACAACCCAGATCATTGGGTTGTGATGCGGTATGTGGGGGCAAGGTCAGAGAGGGGCAATGGTGTTTTCCTGCTCTGTTTCAGATTTTGGTCCCTTCTGCTGCTTCCCACAAGCAAATTGGGCCCTTCTGGTGCTGGATCCCGGGTAGGTGGGCTTGTTCATGTTCTAGGACCCTGAGGGTCTTTCCAAAAAACTCTCTGTGAGCCTGGGAGCCTCCCCTGACACCTTGACCCCCAAAAGTTTTTTCAATTGGTGCTTTTAGGCTTTATTTCTGGTAGCTGGGCCCTGGGTTGTGCAGTGTGTCTCACTGCTCACTCCTTTGCCTAGTTTATCTGTGCACCATTGCTGACTGTAGTCAGCAATTTGCCTTGTGCTCTCACTGGGTCTGCCCATTGCCATCCCATGCCTGGGATCTGCCAAGTGCTGACTGCGCACCAGGGATGGTCTGGCCACTGTTTCCTGCTGAGACCCCTCTTCTCCAGCCACTGACTCTGCCCCTCTACAGGTCTGGATGAATGGTTTGTTGTTGTCAGACTTCAGTACAGTTCAATTTTCTCTCTCTTCTGGTTGTGTTCTGGTTTCTAAATCTTTGTTGTTCATAAAATTGGTTGTGCAAGGAGGTACAGTTTGTCCGCCTACACCTCCATCTTGGCTGGAAGTCTACCATCAGATGTTTAAAGGACTCTGTGTTGACTCCTGGGATTCTCCTGTACTCCTGGCTGCTTCTTTCTAATTGGTGCACATTAAATCTCATGCTTTGCTGTGTGTAGTTCCATGGGTTGTAACAAATGCAGAGTCATGTGTTCACCAGCCCATTACCATGGAGATTAATTTTATTATTCTAAAATTTCCTTCTTTAATCCCTTTCATAGACAACCATTCTCGATTTTTCCAACACTTAGAAGTCATTGAGCTTTTCTTCATCCCTGTTATGTACATAGAATCACACAATTAGGAACTTTTAGGTCTTGCTTCTTTAATGTTAAAATCCACTTTGGCTTGTCCATATTGGTGCATGAGTAAATATTATTCTATTTTATTACTGAACAGTGTTCCAGTTTAACAATGTTCTACAGTT